ACTTCCTGACATACCTTGGGATAACAAATCTTACATTTTTATTGCATTTCTCACACCAAAATTTACCATTTTCAACCTTTACCTTCCTTTGACATTTTTTGCAGGCATTGTAAAACCAATTATAATTTGTTTGAATTTTCTCTATAGTTGCTAATGTCATACATTGCAAACCTGAGTATTATTAAATAGTAAGAAAATAAAGTTATGAATAATTGGTAGAAAATTATCAATTGTCTTCAGATTAGTTATCTAGTTTGCCACTAATCCCACATTTTAAATAAGCAGTGCAATATCAATAAAGTCACTTCTTTAAAATAATTGCCTCTCGTGCCTCTCGAATTTCATCAAGTGTCTTCCGTTCAGTTAATAACAAAAAATCATCCTCGATGGAATAAGCTTTTTCAATTGGAATCTGACTAAATCGTTGAGACGAAGAATCTTCCACAAGTTTTAGACTTATGATATTAAAATTAAATTAATTAGAAATAATATCAAATTACTTGTAAATAACTAACGAATGAGATAATTCATCATGTACCTTTTTTTTAGATCATCAACTTCAGGTATGTCAGGATTGATTAATATCTTGGACGCATATAAGGCATTTGTAATAGTAATTTTACCTAATAAATAAAGTTTTTAAATTCATGATTCTGTCAATATATAAGCAGAATCTATGAAATAAAAATATATATTTTTGATAAATTAGTATACATCTAATTTTATTTACCTTCATATGGTTTTGTCTTCGCAAGCTGAATCACCATTATAATAATTCCTGAATTAGCGTTCTGTACATAGTGCGAAACTTGAACAGCGTAATCACCCCACAAACTGTATTGCAATTTAATTTTGTTGCATGAAGAAAAAAATTAGTACGGAATGCATACATACACTCTCACATACACACACATACTAAGTTCAGCAAGTGTGAGTTTTGGCTCTCAGAAGTCAGATTTCTTGGCCATGTTATCAGTCGAGAGGGTATAGCAGTGGACCCGGCTAAGATCATGGCAGTTCTTGATTGGGAGCCACCGAAGATGGTGACAGAGATTCACAGCTTTTTGGGCTTAGCTGGATATTATAGGAAGTTCATTCAGGACTTCTCAAAGATTTTAGCACCAATTACACACCTTACGAAGAAGGGTGTACAGTTCATATGGAGCATGGAGTGCCAGAAGGCCTTTGATGTTTTGAAGGCTAAGTTGACTTCAGCATCGGTTTTGACCATACCGAGCAGCGACAGGACATTCGTCGTATATACAGATGCATCGTTGGCAGGCTTAGGAGGCGTATTGATGCAGACTCAGAGGGTAGTAGCTTATATCTCATGGCAGTTGAGGGTGCATGAGCAGAACTATCCCACTCATGATTTGGAGTTGGCAGCAGTGGTATTTGCACTGAAGTCATGGAGGCACTACTTATATGGAGTGCAGTTTGAGTTGTTTATAGACCATCAGAGTCTGAAGTACCTCTTTTCCCAGAAGGAACTCAACCAGAGACAGAGGAGATGGATTGAGTTTATTAAGGACTACGAGTTCGCGATCCAGTATCATCCGGGGAAGGCGAACGTCGTGGCAGATGCATTAAGCAGGAAGCGTCGATCCCGGATTTTGGCTTTGAGGTGTTCACTACATCGGGATCTTATCACTCTTAGCCAGTTTGATTTTAGGCCCGAGATTGGAGGGACCAGTGCATTCTTGGGAGCTATCTCAGTGCAGCCATCTTGGAGTGACAGAGTTGTTAGAGCTCAGTTGGGAGACTCTTGGATTCAAATCCAAAAGGAGGAGATTTCCAAAGAGCCTAAGACTGATTTGACCATTGGAGCTGATGGAGGTCTACGGATGAAGGGTAGATTGGTTGTGCCAGCCAGTACAGAGCTGAAGAGAGAGTTATTTGATAAGGCACACCATACTCGGTACACAGTGCATCCAGGGACTACCAAGATGTACAAGGACTTGAAGAGACATTTCTGGTGGAGAGGTATGCGTAGAGAGGTTGCAGACTATGTGGCTAGATGTTTTACCTATCAACAGGTAAAGGCAGAGCATCAGAGACCGGCAGGGACACTGCAGCCTTTACCCATTCCAGAGTGGAAGTGGGCAGATATTTCCATGGATTTTATTGTGGGGTTGCCGAAGTCGAAGAAGGGGAATGATTCAGTTTGGGTGATAGTGGACCGGTTGACGAAGTCAGCACATTTTATTCCAGTGAGGACCACTTATACAGCCGAGGCTTATGCGAGAATCTTCATTCGGGAGATAGTTCGACTTCACGGGGTCCCGGACACGATCGTGTCGGATCGAGGATCGGTTTTCACTTCACACTTTTGGAGGAGTTTTCAGGACTCATTTGGCAGCACGCTATCTTATAGCAGTGTATTTCACCCCCAGACGGATGGCCAGACGGAGAGGGTGAATCAGATGTTGGAGGACATGTTGCGGGCATATGTCATTGACTTCCAAGGCAGTTGGGAGGATCACATTCCATTGATAGAGTTCGCTTATAACAACAGTTATCAAGCGACGATCGGTATGGCTCCGTATGAGGCATTATACGGGAGACCCTGTAGATCA